TTAATAAAAAGTCAAATATTGATACGATATCGTGAAACGAAATATCGAGATATTTCAACGTATCGGTATTTTCTCACACCTCTAATCGTGATACTGTACAAATACCTTAACTTTGCACCTCACTTCATATATGACACCAGTTCAGGAGTATTTTTTTTTAATGAAATAACCCTATAGTTTACCATCCCACACGGTTCCAGTTCCAGTTCCTCACACAATGGAAGATAAAGGGTGAGAGAGGGAGAGAGGGAGGACGATCATTTTGTGGGCAGCAAACTTCTGCCAGCAGGGGGCCATTTGTTTTCAGTTGCTTCTCACTGGTGAAACAGTACAAATTCACAGCAGGAAGTTCTAAAGTGAATTAATTTGATCTGAAAATCCACGTTTCCTCTCCAGCCTCACACGTCTCGTCGTCTCGTGTGATTTGTTAAAAACTTTTAAACGTATATGAAAAACCTGGAAGCTTGAAGTAAAATGTAAATCGTAGTTGGCGACAAACTAAAAATATCAAATGTTGCTGCTAAGATTTGTAGGATCGGAGGATTCACATCCCTGTGAAGAGGAGAACAGCTGAACACCAGAGTACCAGTTCCTTCCTGTGGAACCATTGATCTGTTCACCGAAAAGTAGTAGAAACTAAAGTACAGTAGGCCTGTATTTGAAATACTGCCAGACCGTGTACTGGACAGAACACGGAACTGTTTGTCTGAACTACACCGTGAAACAGTGACTTTTTTATTCAGTTTTCTGATTTTCTTTTGATCAGTTTGGGAACAGATGTTAGAAACGATCAGCTCCAAAAAAAAAAAAACTGAGCTGTAATTATAACAAACTGTCCTGAAAATTTTACCTTATTATCGAATAAATGGAAAAGAAGAACAACAATAACAGAAAGTCAAATTAAAGTCAGTCATAACCAACCAACCTGTTTTTAAAGACTGGTTGGTGCTGCGTTTCTCAGGGTGTCGTCTTCTTCTTCGTCTTCATCGTCCTCTTCATTGTCTTTCCACTTCTTTTTTCTTCTTCTTCTCCTCCTTCTCCTTCCTGTTTGTCTTCTTCTCCTTCTTCTTCTTTGTCTTTCCGCTTCTTCTTCTTTTCCTCCTTCTTCTTCTTTGTCTTTCTGCTTCTTCTTCTTCTTCTCCTCCTTCTCCTTCCTGTTTGTCTTCTTCTTCTTCATCTTCATCTTCTTCTTCATCTTAATCATCTTCTTTTTCCCCTACTTCTTCTTCTTTGTCTTTCTGCTTCTTCTTCTTCTTCTCCTCCTCCTCCTTCTCCTTCCTGTTTGTCTTCTTCTTCTTCTCCTTCTTCATCTTCTTCTTCTTTGTCTTTCCACTTCTTGCAGGGAACTTTCCATTCACTCCATGTTTCGCTGCAGCCCTGATGTGGAAGTGATGACTCTAAAGCTCAAAGGTCAGTGTTAATTAAACAGACTGTACTCCGCCGTGGCTCCGGGTGACGTGAGCTGCTGACAGAACCAAAAACCACAGTTCCATAAAGACAATCACTGGCACTTCTCACTAATTCTTTGTTGAACGTTGCTCAAAGTGGGGGGCGGGGGAGAGGAAGGGCCGAGTGGGGGGGCTTATAGGATTTCCTTCTGAGTGTAAAACGTGGAGATCGTGAATAATTAAACATGGATGTTAATTAAAGAGCCGCCAGCTGTTAGCTGAGCTCACCTGCTGCTGGTTAAGGCCTCTCATTGGCTCTCCTCGTCAGCTGACTTGTAGCAGCGTTTCCGTTCATCTTCTCACCTTCTCTGCCACAAATTCAACAAACATTCTCTCCGTTTGTCAGAGGAATGCTTTAATTCCACAACTGAAACTCCTGATCTCTGCTCAGATTCCTCCCAGCGGGTGAGGCCGAGGGTGAGGGTGAGAGTGAGAGTGAGGGTGAGGGTGAGGGTGAGGGTGAGGGTGAGGCCGAGGGTGAGGGTGAAATCGCGAGCCACTTCTGCCAAGAGCTGAGCTCATGAAAGTGCAGACCTTTGTCTTTTGATGAGAAACGAAGATTTTTTTTTCTTCTTCTGTCTGGTACTTTTATAAAGACTCCAGTAGGTTTTTGTTTCAGTCTCGTCCCCGACGTTGTTTTTCTTTTTTATTTGCCAATCAACTCACCCACCAGATGCAGGACTGCACGTCCCACTAAGAGATTCTGCCTCTATAACGGAGACAGATGGCGCCGACGTCTCAAACATGAAAACAGTTTTCTCCGAATTACCTTCTTTAAACATGAAGCCCAAATGTCTCTGCCTCGGAGCCTCTCCTGATTGGTTAACGGCTCCTCCTGCATTATGTTACGTTACATAAGGTTTAGGAAAAACGTCCATCAGCGAACGGCTTTTGTCGGGAAGGATGAATTCCCAGGAAGGCGAGCAGGTTTCTGGGTGTGACGGCAGTGCTGAATTACACGCTTCAAAAAAGAGGAAAGAAAGAAATGACATAAAGTCTTCTTTTACAAGTGGGGGCGATAAAGGCAGGGAGACGGGGGGGCCGTTACAGAAGCATGTAAGAGGAGATTTGAATGTTTAATAAGATATAATTGCAGCAGGGACTCGCAGCTACCAAAGACAGGACAACGGAGGAGGAGGAGGAGGAGGAGGAGCGTTGGCTCTTCATCAGGATCTGGATGGAGGATGAATAACAAGAGCAGGAAAATCTGCACCGGGAGATTTACACCTCATGACTGTGTGTGGGGGAGGGCAGGGGGGAGGTTGCAGGTTCAAATACACCCCCACCACTGGTGTAAAGGCCAGTGAACTCAGCTCTGTGTCTCGGACCTGACGCTGTTAAAGACCAACATGAGTCCGACTTCATCTGTAGGAACATGTATTATTTAAAGCAGGAGGGAAGTGTTTTATCAGTGGAGAGAGAGAGAGAGAGAGAGAGGGAGAGATAGAGGGAGAGAGAGAGGGAGATTCTCCATCTTGGTTTTCTTTCTTATTCTGAATGTGTCTGATAAGTTCTTTTGTAGAACTGTCTGTGGTTTTAGTTTGTGGCTCCTCTGTTCTCTTCTTTCTTTTGTTCTTTCTTTCTTTCTTTCATTTCATCTCTCTTTTGTTTCCTCTTTTGCTCTCCATTTTTCATCCTTCTTTTATTATCTCTCTCCTTCTTTCTTCCTCTCATCTATTGGGTCGTTCTTTCCTTCTTTTATCTGTTCTAACCTTCATTTCTTTCTCGTATTTCCTCTATTTTTACCACCTTCTTTTCGTTCCTCATCTATATCTACATATATATATATATATATCCCTCTATTTTTACCACTTTCCTTTCGTCCCTCTCTATATCTACATATATATATAGATATAGATGGATAGAATTGTATTAATCCCTCGGGAGTTCCCTTTTTTTTTACACTCTCAGCTGCACCGTCCTGTCTCCCGTTCAACAGTCGTATTGACCGTCCTACATTATTCAGGTTTGAATCAGTCCGACTGTCAGCCTGGTGACGACCCAGCGTCTGAGTTAAATATCTGGGACCAGAATAACCCTGACAGCACGGAGCGTCGATCCACACCGTTGTGACAGTGCACAGTATGTACTGTCTGAGTACTTCTACTCCCTGGATACTGCAGTACAGTCGTCAGAGCGATCACCTCCGTGGCCTCAGCCGGAGTTTCCTCTGTCCGTCCGTCTGTAGTTTCGTCCATTAAAGTTTTTGTGAACTCGGTCACAGAGTCGTGTCACTCGGCTGGAAACCGTTGGTTTTGTTGCCTTTATCACAGGAATAATCCTGTCAGACTTCACAGTTCCTCTCCGTCAGGGCTCTTCTTTTACCGCCGAGATGAATCCACATCTCGCCGCTGTGTATAAATTAAATTCTGACATGCAGAGGAGTTGAACAAGATGTTCCTTTACACTGTATTTATTTTTAAATGAGCATTTAGGTTCTGCAGCCTGAAGACAGTCAGATCTTTCTCTTTTATCTGCACTGATAATTCAGGCCTTTTCTCCACGTCTCCTGTTGTTGATTTGACACACGGCTGATCCAGTTTTTCAAGGTTTTTCTCTTTTTCCCAGAACTGCTACAACAACTAAAAACAACTAAACAACAAAACTGCCCATATTAACTTTATTCCCTTGAGAACACACAGAAACAGATGGAAGTCCATGAACAGAAGATGATGGTCCTACAGTCAAATAAGTTCTTTCAACAAATGTGATACATACAGTAGTAAAATGCTCTAAGGTCACAGTGAAGATGTGGATTAGTCAAGCATCTGTAAATAAAACCAAAAATCAAATAGAAATATAACATTTTGGAGAAGAAGAATCTTTTTTTTTTTTAAAGTCGGAGGAATCTCCACTTTTTCTTCAGTAGCAGAATATCAACACATCATCTGGTAATATATTGTAGAAATCTCATCGTTTGCATGCCTAAAAAATACCCTGTATTTCTGTACTGTATTAAACCTACTTAGCAATAGGGGGTAGTAGTGAGCACAGGGGTTGAATAATGCATGCAAGCTCCAATAAGTCTGTTTGAAGGACACGAAAAAAAAAAAAAATCAGAATGAAACCAGTGTAAGGTATGGCCTTTAGAGGACGACGTCGAGGTCACTACGAACTACGTTAGGCAAAAAAAAAAAAAAAAAGCCACAGAGTTTGTGGAAATATCGGAGCGATGGTCGGAGGAGAAGCCGCTCCTCAGGTGGTGAGAGTTCAAGGTGAAGGATGAGGAAATCCTGTTCCTGTCGTTGCTGCCTTTATTTTTCTTACGATTGCAAAGCTGAATACGGCGGAATAAAAAGGAAAAAAAAAAAAAACCTTACCTATAAATGTTTGCACCGAGCGTTTGGTTTTCCACTGGAGATCTTTAAAATATGCATGTGTGGTGTAAAAAAATTAGAGCTTTTCAAATAGCAGCTGAGCATAAATATTTCATATAAATATTTGCATCTACACTTGAATGTCACTTTAAACTAGGACTGACATGCATCAGCTGGTAGCGGCGGCTGCTGGGGGGGGGGGGGGGGCGTATGGTGGGGAGACGGCCCAAATGCAGAGTCACCTCCTGCTTTATTGTGCTTTACCGAGTAATGGGCCTGGGATTAATGTTTTAGTTCCTGCAGCAGGAGGAGGAATTGAATCTTTCAGCAGACATGAAGTTTTAATGTCGTAGCCGTAGCGTCCGTTCTCCAGACCAGCGTGTACTCTTTACCGTTTTGTGTTCATTTCAGACCCTGAAGGTTGGTATAAAATGAGGTACTTGCTGGTTTCTTTTGGGTCAACGTTCTCGCCGGTGTGTTCGGGAGGATCTCAGACGACGAGAGTGCGTTTGCGACAGTGTAACCGTGAGTCAACGTAGACAACGAAAAAACTAGTCACCAGCACGAGACGCCTTTTACCGCAACTCCCGAAATCCCGTGGAAAAAAAAAAATTCTTTTAGTTTCTTGGAGGCAAAGTGGGATTTCAGACGCAGAACAATAACACGGACAGAGACAGGAAGTAGGAGTCGCTCACAGTTCTTTTGAAAGGTTCGATAACAAGGATCCGTTAGTAGAGAAGCTGTCAGACACGGTAGCTGAGTTATGAGACTGAAACTAGGCTGATAAACACACTCTAAGTGGAGAGTATCGCAGTAATCGTTATAGGCTCGTGGTACTCTGTCATGGCTACTGGCTTTAAGAAGTAAAGAACTCAAACCCCTAATCCAAGTAAGTGATCGTTGTGTTTATATTAAAAATAACAAAAAAAGGAAACTGAGCTGTAAGTTGTGGATATACAGTAGATATTGTCATTGTGCATCAGTTTATGTGACTACAAAACCAATCTATACAATAGATTGACACTCGTCTAGTACAGAAATATTGCGTGACTCGGGGGCTAAAGATGGCTGTCTCAAATCTCCAAGTACTGCGATGGAAAAAAGCCGGCCACTAACTAAACCAAGAATAAAAGTGTGTCCCGCCTTTGTCCAGGTTTACCTCCAGCCAATGTGACCAATCAGCCTGGCAATCCGTCGGCGAGGGGCAGCTCCTCCAAAGCTGAGGATAAGCCATTAGTTTCTCCTCTGTCGCCCCCTGAATCTCTGTCGTCTTTGTCCTCATCCCCCCTCAATGGGTCCTGGTGGGAGAGGCGGTTTAGAGGGTCAAAAGTATGAGTTTTGGGCTCGGGGCTGAGGAGGGAGAGCTGAGGCAGCAGCGGCTCCACTCGGAGCTTGGCAGCTAGCTCCTTGGCGCTGCAGGCCGGCGTGTTGGTCTCGTAGACGTCGTGGAAGTTGTTGTAGTCCACCTCGTAGAAGCCCTTCTCCAGGGAGAGAACCGGAGTGAAGCGGTAGCCCCACAGCACCTCGGTGTCCAGGTAGGAGCTCCTCGCCTGACACGTCATTCCTGTCGGACGTACGGACAGACGTCAGTGACCACGTTTACACACAGACACGGAAAATACAGAATCAATATGTGGTGGAAAAGACACGTAAAAAAAACACAGAGGGAAAGGGGGAGAGAGAAAGCGAGGGGGGGAGAGGGTGAATAATTCATGAACATGAGAAGCACACAGAACATTTCCTGTTGAATCACCAGTATGTTTTAAAACGAAGGACACAAAGGCCTTGAACTGTAATGACACATGTTGGCCACTAGTCTGAATTTCACCACACGTTTCCAACAGTTTCACCTTATGAATTTGAGTTCCAGCATCAAAATCGAGAAGCACACAGAACATTTCCTGTTGAATCACCAGTATGTTTTAAAACGAAGGACACAAAGGCCTTGAACTGTAATGACACATGTTGGCCACTAGTCTGAATTTCACCACACATGTTTCCATCAAAATCGATGCAACAAACGCAGTAAATGATCAAGAACTGACGCCGGATTCTCCCGCAGCACCTCGAACACACCGTCGCCGTTATTTACACCTCTGCTTTTCTTTACAATTACAAAAATGTCAGCCGTGGCGAAGGCGTCCAAGCGAGGGAAGCGAGACTCGGGTAATGACTTTACCTTACGACAAACACAATTAGGAGCTGTAGTAACAAATGGGAATTAAAAAACAGACGGAATCACAAATGAGGCGGCTTCACCGTAAGACAACCGTGAGGTGTTAACGCTCGGGCTGAGTGGAAACCAGGGACGCTCTCGTTAGTGGCTGAACACGAGGCGCCGCCGTAACCCTCCTGGGGATTCTGCATTAGAATAAATAACGTAAATAAAGGATGAGCTGCTGTGTAAGAACCCAGACACGGAATTAGCATCGAACCCTCTCTCCTCCATACGGAGCGTCCAGGAGCCACAGGGTTGTCTGCAGCTGCTCCTCTCTGTCTCTTTGTCTCTGGTTTTTAATTCCCTCTGATTGGTATTTAGTCTCCCACTCGGTGAAGTGGACGTGGGTCACTGAGGGCAGCAACACGTCACGGTGAATATTCAAACCTACGACAGCAGAGACTTCAGAGCCGCCGCCACCATCGCCGCCGTCTCTCTGAGTTACGTAACCTAATGTATGAATCGAGCATCGCATCGTCCGTAACAGTCGGCCTGTTCCAAAAGAGACGCACAGTAGAGTTTGTATTCAACGCGGCGTCTAATGTCAACATGAAGGGGGCGCCGTTGGCTGCTCGTCTTCCCCGTGGCCTTCGTTTCATACGAGGCTCATTTTTTCTGAGACTGTGGTGGGAAATGTTTCTGTGACTGGATCATCAAAGACAGAGATGGGTGTGTGTGTGTGTGTGTGTGTGTGTGTGTGTGTGTGTGTGTGTGTGTGTGTCTATACTGTCTGTCGAGGCTGTAGAGACGTTGTTTGATGTGTTTCTGTTCCTACTATAGCGAGTCACCAAATGGGAAAATGAAATTATTTGATTTTTTTTTACTACATTCCAGTAGTTTGTCAATCATGAAATCAAAGGTTTTTTTTTTTTTTTCATTATAACAGAAATACGATGGCTTTAAAAAGTACGACATCTTCGTTCTCAATCAACTGCCCGGGGGGGGGGTGGGGGGAGATCGCTCGGTTATAAGGATATTTCTACCGTGGGTAGAATAACAGAGACCACGCCCCCACTCAGCCCCCACTCAGCCCCCCTCCCCACACACACACACACACACATCAGGGAGATATTCCCACACTCTCCGTTCCCTTTGATGGAGCCTTTTTTTTTCTGTCCTTGTGATGAAACAGTTCTAATTCACAGAGCTTCAGTGTTAAAGTGGAACAGTGCTGCGGGGCCAGAAAAAAAAGATAAAAACATATAGACATCCATATATACAGTATATCTATATACTGTCTATATGGACATGTCGGTGATGAGTCCATCAGCACCAAAGGCCACGACGCCCTCTGAAATCCAACTGAATCAGTCCATGGTTCCGTCTTTTAACAAAGTCTGATGTCGGATCAAAGGTCGGACTGAGATCACCGTGACGAGAAGCCAAATATAAATGTGAGGTTGACACGGAGAGACAGAGACCGAGACGGTGAAAATGTCTTAACAGCTTCCTCCGTGGAAACGGAAATTCCAAAGGTCAAAAGTGACAAAGCGGACCCAGACATCTTCTTTAGTGGACGATGTTGGTATTACACCCTCCATAAACAGAAGTCTCGTTTTGTGAACATTGAGTGTCTGTTTACTGGCTGGTCTGCAGTCCAGATGTGGAGCGTCCCAACTGTAGGAAATCTGCAAATCTGACGGAGACGTGACGTAGAAGACGTCGTCCCAGTGAATGAAAATGTGACTTATTACTTTAAAAAAAAAAAAATTTAATAAATAAAGTGCATCCTTAAATTATTGGTTACTTATTACTTTAAAAAAAATTTAATAAAGTGCATCCTTAAATTATTGGTTTTAGTTTTGATGCATTTATAATAAATCTGTGGTCGTTTTTCAGCTAAATATATTATTTTTGTTTTAAGTTTTTTGCTGCGTTTTGGTTTAAACGAAACCTGTGGTCGTTTTTCAGCTAGTTTTCAGCAAGTTTTTTGCTGCGTTTTGGTTTAAACATCATCAACGTAAATCAATGAGACGACAGTAACAGTAAGTTAACAGTAATACAGTAAAAGGTAAATGAAATAGTGGTTGCTCACGAAGGTGTGTGTGTGTGTGTGTGTGTGTGTGTCACTGTGACATTATGTCGGTAACTGTTAAAAACAAGTACGTCAAGAAACTTTTTTTTTTTCCTTTGTCACTTACTCTTGACCTTTCACACACACTGTAATAGTTTGTTATGTAAATGATGCCACTGAGGTCAGGCAGCTTCAGGTTACTGATACTGGACGTCCTGATTGACCAGAACCTGGAACAGTGAGGCGTCGACATTGATTTTAGTAAACACGTGAACAAAACCGGCGTTGACGTGTCGGAATATCTGAACGTCAATGAGGGCAACGACAACCTGCTGCTGCTGCTGCTGCTGTTGTCACTTACTCATCACCGCCGTGATGTTTTTAACCATGGGTGTGATGGAAAGATTCGCGGCTCTGTGATGTCATTTTCCTCCCTGAGATCTTCTGGAGGCATCGGTGAACCCTGATCTGCTCTCTCTGAACTTCAGTTTGGGCCAGGATCGCAGATTTAAAGTCTGACAATCTGATGTGAGGTGTTTAAAATAGAAATGCCTGGAAAAAATATCAACCTGCCACGATCGGGCGAGCAGATTCACGGGAGTCGCAGCACGGAGCAATGATTTCCACATGAATGCCTGTGGAAGGTTGTAGAACAACTGACCTGAAAAAGGTGAATCAAACAGCGGGAGTCGTGTACACGTGAAGTCGTGTGTCAGGATAGACGGATGATAGGATGAATCCGACCTATCGCAGAAAACCTCCAATCACAACTCTGTATTTTTTCAGTTCTTTTCTCCATGTATATAGAACATACTAGTGTCTGAGCAGCAGAAAAGAGGAGGCGCAGCCACAGTCTGCCAGCTCACAGCCTGATCCTTCCTCCTGCTTGTAGCTGCCGCCGTGACCCAGACACAGAAGAGAACAGATTGTAGCCCTGGTGTAAGTAGCAGGTGGTAACATCGAAGGAGGAGAGGTGTGATTCTCGTTGGCAACGAGAGGGTGCCTTCGTCGTATGGGAGTCTCAGACGACTCTGCTCTGATCTCACAGTGAGAAAATCAAAGTGAAAGTCACTCAGTCTGCGTCGTTTGCTGACAGTGTTTTTAGTTTTTTGAATTTTGACAAAAAAAAAACCCAAAAACCTCTGTATGTTTCACTGGTAAAATAACAAATTCCTAGATCAACTTCTGGGAAGAAACCAATTGCAAGAGGGATGTTGGGGGGTGATTTTTTTTGGCAGAATTATCACAGAAAAGTACACATTACCTGGCAAAATCAGCGTACTTTTCTTATGTCCGTATTTCCATTGATTACAAACCTTCATTCTGTCAAATATTTCTGTTTAAAAGAAGCAGAAGAAGAAGAAAAAGAACTTGTTTTTTTTTTCCTCTCCCTAATCTGTGCCATATGTACTTGGAGGCTGAACTCATCTTCTGGGATCAGTTTATTCTCGATGACTCACGTTATTGTTTCTAATCTCAGCTTTATTCCCAAAATATAAGAGGATTTCTTTTTTTCCCTATTCCGATCCAACAACGGGGGAATTCTCTTAGAGAACGTCAGTTGAGTTGTCGAAATAACTCAGCCGTACTGAACATTAGGTTCAATATGACGGCAATGGAATTTTTATGCGAGTGAGAGAAACGACAGATCTGACGTGAGACGTGTCCAAGTGAAAACCTGAGTGAACGGAGACACTCGGCGGGAAAAGATTCAGATAAACAGCCACAGATTAGTACTATTTTAAATCAATACTGACATGTGTACATATATATTTTTATATTTGTGTCTATGTATGTGTACAATACCTGCATATATACAGTATTGTATATATGTGTGTATATGTCCATATGTATTGTTTGTGTATAGATTTATATACACACATACTGTATATGTGTGTATATATTTGTATGCATATGTATATATTTATATATATGAGTACATATACACGGCCTGTACACTGTATTGAACCAGCAACAGTTGCTGTTTATTGTGATCTTCTTCATCAGCTGAGGTCTGGCTCTGTCCATGGTGCTGATCTGTTAATCCCACGAAACTCACTTTATTTCCCACCAGTTCTGTTTCTCTCACGTCTCACTGGTCTTTTTGTGGAGGTAACTAATAACTTTTACCTCTCCCTGGTTTTTACCAGCTACATGACATTGTTTTTGGACACAAAAAACAAAACATGTTTTGACATTTATCATCACATCTGCCTGATTGTTAGTGTAGTAAGAATTCTGGATTTAGAATCAGTTCTCTTTATTAAACTTAACCTAATGGTTTTTAACATTGGTTCTGACTTTTTACTGTTGACCTCGATAACAAATAAGAACAAATAAGAATAGAGATATAGTTATAGTTATTAAAAAATAGTTCTGAATACTGAAACTAAATCTTTCTGCTAACGTTTTCTGTATCCTGTACTAACCACATTTGATCGCAGCTTCTATTTGTATAAATAACACCAACAACAAACACTCAAAGCTGTTCTACCACCAACGTCTTTGTACCAAATACACCAGTGAATCAAGGACTGTTGTCGGCAACATTAACATATACAACAGAGGCGGTGGCACGACGCAGGTGCAGAGTCGGCAAAACAGGAGAGAACTTAAACTGTTGTAGGACAGAAATCTACAAAAAAAAAAAAAACTGCTGAAAGCTGATACTTAGGGTAAAAAAAATAAAATGAATAAGTTTCTTTTTAAGTACTGTCTGATCCTTTTTTATTTCTAATAAAAGTCAGAGTCCGTGCTGCACTGTTTTCCCATTGTTACCATTATAATATGAGATGAGAGTCTGATCCAAACTGAGCTCAGTGATTTAAAAGAAAGAAGATCTAATATACATTTAATTCCCTCGGCTCATGCTTTACTTTCAGTGTCAACGTGAAAAATCAGAGCAAATTGAACTGCTACAGTCGGGGACATCAAAGAGAAACGAAAATCAACCTTGAAGCTTTTCACCTGTCAACGAAACTTTAGAAATTCTCCACATTATGTTTGTCGTACTTGAAGAATTAATATGATTTTCATATGAATGGCATTTTTATAAAGTCAGTTGCATTTTTTTTTTTTTTGGCGTGGGTGGGAGGGGCAGTTTGACTTGACTTCTTGCTGCAGTCACCAACTCTACTAAACCGGTCGCGTCTCAACATGGGACAGGAAGGGGACGGTCACTCAAGTTTGTTGCCTAGCAATAAAGGACATAAACCCTGCACGATAACGTGGTCTCTGCCGGTGAAGCGAAAGGTGATTTAATATCAGGCTCGTGTCTCCAGCAGAGAGAAACATGATAACGCGGCTGTTTGTGCTTCGGAGAGGAAAAATAAATAAAAACAAATAGAGCAGAAATGTCTGGATGTATGTGAACCCATGCGTGGGCGTGTTAGAGAGCCTGGCCGTTGGACACCATTTTTATGGGTTTTTTTTTTACGGTTCGGTCCAAACATCTGAATGTCTCTGATGAACAGCTGCTTCCTGGAAAAGAATCTACTCAAATGCCATAAAAAATTAAAAATCTGTAGTTTGGTCTTTCATATGAACCTGAACCTGTGAAATCAACAAAGAAAAGAAAAATTGGAATTCTTAATTATTTTTCAATTGCTTTAGAATGAGAACTACACCAAGTGTACTTGAATTTAAAGGACGTCTTCAGTTTCACCTGCAGCTTTAGTTTTTTATTCATGGAGCCCTGAAGGCAACACATCGTAAAAACCCTTTTACAGCCACCCGTGGTTCCGTGCTTTGACTCCCCTCCCTCCTCCCCTCCCCTCGTATACGACCAGGTCTAGTTGTGGATTTGAGTCCACTCTGAACTCTGATGGATCGGTTGTAGATGCTGCTGCACATTTCCCCGCCGCAGCCGCGAGCGCCTGCTCGGAAACCGGAGCTGTGTTGTGGAAAGTTCCGGAGCCGCGTGTCCATGTTGGCCTTTCAAATGTAACCAGCCTGGAGCACTTTTTGAGACTGCCTGTCTTTTTACCACAAACAAAGCCCAGCAGTGTGGGCGGTTCCACGTCATTTAATAAACAACATCAAAGACGCCACCCTGAAGTAGCAACAGTGGAAATGCAGGGTCCGGTGAGAACAAAGACCTCTCTCAGCGTCGTTCACCTGTTGACGAGACGCTCCTCCAGTCTTTCTCTAAAAAGCTTCTGTTATCAAATTACGAACCATAAACCTAATCAAGCCCCCTGCTGTCTAGCTTTTGAAGTGCACCAGTGCCGTATAAATCACATCTCACTTTAAGAGCAATTATCTGCGAGTGTTCGTCTGCGTCTTTCCATCTCGGGCGATATTATTATTCGCAATCTAAAGCACAAACAGTTAGTCACTCATGCCTCTTGTACCTTTCCGTCCATTTATCCTTCCTCGCATCCACATCCACCCACTCAGCTCACTGCCTAGAATCATCAGCTCCTCCATGGCTGCTTCATCCTCTCACTCACTCATTTATCTTTCCATTTCATCTGTGCTTGTGTTTATCACTTCCCATAAACCCTTACATGCAGCCCATAACCCCCGCGCCCCGTGTCGTACCTGTGGCTTCCACCATTCCTTCCAGGATCACTACAATCTCAAACTCCTCCTTCTCCATCTGCGCCATCGACATCTCCCAGAAGGGGCTTTTCTCGTTGATCTCGTGAGAGATGATGAGCGGCGACACCAGGAACAGCCGGTCGTCTCCGGTGTCGAACCCTATGTTGATGTCCGTCTGGTTGAGGGGGATGAATTCCCCTTCCTTGGTCTGCTGCGACCGGATCAACTTGGCTCGGATGGATGCCTCCACGATGTGAGAGTTCCTCAGGTCTCCCACCCGAAACATCAGGCACATCTTGTTGTCCCTCAGTGCTATGACGGCATTGTGTGAAAACATGAGGGTCTCTGCGCGGTTCTTTGGCTGCGAGATCTTCACAAACATACAGCCCACCATCATGGCGTTCACGATGGAGCCCAGAATGGCCTGCACCAAAAGCAGGATGATGCCTTCGGGGCATTTCTCTGTAATCACACGGTACCCGTACCCGATGGTGGTCTCCGTTTCGATGGAGAAGAGGAAGGCCGAGACAAAACTGTTCAAGTTCTCCACGCACGGAGTCCAGCCGTCCTCGTCGGCGTGCAACAGATCACCTCGAATGAGTGCTATCAGCCACCAGAGGAAGCCGAAGAAGAGCCAGTTAACAACGTAGACCAAAGTGAAGATGAAAAAACTCAGGCGCCAGCGTAGATCCACCAGCGTAGTGAACAAGTCGCTGAAGTATCGGTACGTCTCTTGGACGTTTCCGTGGTGGACGTTGCACTTGCCGTCCTTCTGGACATATCGCTGACGTGGCTTCTTTGCTGGGTCAGGAATCAGGTGGGTTCTTTCTGTCGTGATGGAAGCATCCCGCAAGTGCTTGGGAAGCTTCTTTACCTGAGTGGAAACAAAAAGACGGAGAAAGGAATCATGAAAAGATCACAATCGAGATTATAAAGAACACAGATCAGATCAGGTTCTCGTGATTTCAGACTCCAGATTTGAAGTCCAGTTTGTCGTCGTACGTATGTTTACAGGTAGAAATTAAAACAAAGTAAGAACACAACAAGCACACACTGGTGCTTGTTGTGTCCGTGTCGGTGCTGGTCCAAGTCCAGCGAGACGATCTGTCTCCAAACAGCTGTGCTCCAAGATCCCTCCTGTCACACCCTATGGGACGTTGGCAAGTCGAGATAGGAGAAGATTTCTGTCTTCGCCTGATAAACCGTCGTAACGTCCGTAAGAGGAGCAGCTTGAGAATATAAAGAAATAAAATTCCTCGTGATACGATGAAACATTTAGTTACGAGCGTCAACCGAGCTCCATTTTTCCACTAGACACTGTCTCACTCACTGTCCTTCTCTGGGTCATTTTACCCATTTTTATGATGACAATATAAAATGTTTTCTTAAATATTATTATTTTATATGATCAATATATTTGTTTATATCTATGTTTTTGATTTTTAGTTGGGTGGGATTTTACTTAAATTAATTATTAGTATATTTCTGGGGGATTGGTTTTTAGTTGTTAGTCGTGTTATGAGCAGATCGATATAGAAATATATAAATATATATATAAACCTGCAGGGTTCTTGAGGCTGTGGCTGGTGTTTTGTGCTGAACTGTGTTCGTGCTCACTCACGGCCGCAGTATTGGCTGTGAAGACATTGATTCACTGAGTTCTCCCTGTTTAAGGAACATTTTAACAGAGAAGTATTAAAGGCCGGGACATAATGACCTGCGCTGCAATTACTGGGCTTGATGACGGTGCACTCACTAAATGTCAGTGTGCTTCCTCATTAACATCTCCTCACGGAGGCCGCAGCCTTAAATATATATATATATATATACATATATTATATTATTTCTCCAACTCTAACTTTCCACTAATAAGATCACACAGCGCTCATTATCGATGTCGGCCAGTGATCCACTTATTGAACACGGGTCAAATAAGTCCATGCGTTTCCCCACTTTGAGGTGGGATTAATTGAGTGATAGATGAAGCCGCCATGAGCTGCGCTGTCCAATCGCTGCTCTCCGTGGTCAATACGGTCCCCGGGGATGATTGTCCATAAACAAATTCATTAGTTCTCCGTTCGGGGCGGCAGTAAGTGGCCGGTGTTTTCCCCTCAGTGTGCCGTTCCTTTCCATGCTTGAGTTCACAACAGTTCAGTTCAGTTGCGCTCAGCAAGACCATCAGGAGAGACAAAGCACCCGGAGAATCCACCATCCTCCATTACTGGCTGGAAAAACAAGGTCCGCTTCGGTTGAAAAAGCTTAGTCTTTATTCTACTCCGTTGACTTCCTGGGAATTTTCTGGATCAGTCGCAGATGTTTTTCCTTTGTTGCCTGTTTTATTATTATTATTGTTATTATTATTATTATAACATGTGCACAGGCAGCTGCTCATGTGTTTCTTCTGATCGGTGGCTTAGAATGATCTTGTGCCTCGTCTTCATAACTGACTCTCATCTAATTCTCCTTCTGTGCAGAGAGTAACGCTGTCACATCAATGTCAGCGCCCGGTTACACGTCCATACGACAGCCTCGTCTTCATAACTGACTCTCATCTCGTCCTGCCTTCTATATCTTCTATATCTTCGCTTCTCAAACATGTACGACTTCTTTAAGCAGCGTTGAAAACCAGCAGTTAGCGTGACATCATTAGCCGTGCAGCTTACCTGTGCAGGTGTGACTCCTATCTCCATGTTGTGGTCCATGAGGACTCGGGAATCTCCTGCCATTTTCAGCTGAGACTCAACACCTACGACACAAACAAACACGTTAGTGGATGAATGTTAGTGCGCGTCGACAGGGTGTGGGGTGTTTTTTTTTGTGTAGGTCATATATACTTAGTCCATTGATCTGAGGCGTGAAAAAAAAAAAAGAACAATAGGGTTGAAGTTGTAGTGCCCTTGGGCCGCAGTCAAGAGCCAGGAGATCCATTAGTCCGCTCAGGCTTTTAAACCTCAGTCGACCGATTTACACACCTTTGAGACGCACACACATTAGGTTAACAACGGCTCATTGTTATGTGGTGAAACCCCCCCAAAGTACCATATTTTACCCCTGCTGTTTCATTGATTTGAATTTGTCAATATGTCAATATTTGGGAGCTGGTGTGATCAAAGCCTTTGGAAACGTGGGCTGTTGGAAGAAAAGGCTCGATTTTGATTCACATTGTTAGAAAAAAACTGTAGTCGTTTCACCATTATTATTATTAGTAGCAGCAGTAATATTTGTAGTAATGGTACTTGCCGTTGACCTTTGACACTTAACACAGCACAGACCAATTAAATGGTTTTTACTGAGTCTTCACTGAAATGTTGACCCTGGTTTGATTCAGATTTACTGGAATCAAGAAAGTAATAAATGTATAATTGCTCCAGGCGAACTGCCTTTACCTCACCTCCTCCAGACGAGAAACTCTGGGCATTTTCTCAAAGTCCATAATGTCTACGTTTCACTTTCCAGTCACGAAAAACATCAGAACCTCTGAATATATATTTCTTTTGAAGTTAGTAAATACGTTTCTACAACACAGGTCTGTGCTCACACCAGCACATGGACCAGGAATATCTCGACCTGTATGTTACTGCACCATTTTTTAATTCTCATTAACTTTGATAATTAACAACGGTGACAGTGTATGACTCTGTAGGAGGACAGAATTTTCAGTTCCTACTAAATGATGCGGGAACCGTAATAAGAGTCACAGTGGGTGATAGCTGAGAGTGGGTGTGTGATAGTTAAGTGGTGAACCTCTGATAAAGCCCTAATTTTAGCAGCGATATCTTATAATACCTTTAGAGCCTCACACCAGACAATTACCTCCCGTCCCCTGGGTGTTGTTCAAAAATCAACTACTCAATTTACAAAACGAACAGGGGAGTAAAACTAATCAAAAGGAAGGTGTTAATAAATTTCCCTTGCTGCAGGTTTGTGGCCTTGACAACATTTCTTCTTCTTCTTCTTCTTCTTCTGTTATGCTGCTGGATGTGAAGGCTGACGATGCAAAAGGAGGGAGAGCAAAAAAAAAAAAAAAAGGCAGGCAGGGGAAAGCGAGAAGCCTACGTCACAGATAAGATCCACACAGGAATGCAGTGTTGACATTGATAGTCTAAAGCAAAGGGCAGAGTGACGTGACGTGCATGTGAGCAGGAGAAAAACCGACCGACAGACAGACAGACAGACCGACTGACACAGCAGAGATGTGACACACACAGAGTTTCAGGGAAACGTAAGTGAATGCATTACAGCGATGGAGGATTCTTCTTTTTTTTAAATCATTTTTAGCTTCTCTCATGAATCAAACATGACTCCCTGGAGTTGTGTGAACTCCAGACCTGTGTGTGTGTTTTCAGGAAGGCTGCGATGGCACGGGTGTGGATTCACAGCAGCAGCACATTCACAAATTCCAAATGAGAGGTGTTTGAACATGGATTACAGCCGGCGCGTCTTATCGCCGAGCTCTGAGAGGCTAACAAGCGTTTATCTTGTTCGTGGAAGAGTCCTTTGGCTGATTTGTGTTTGTGTCCTGATAACAAGAGCACTTATGTTGTGCTCTGAGCCAAGTGGCACATGGCTAACGCCTGGAACCTTCTTCATTACGTGTGTGTGTATACATCTACTTTACATACATACACCCCTGACTGTTCGCTGATGTTGCTTCCTGAGCAGCATTAACCAGTTTAGAGAATCTCTCCAGAATATTCCTCCAACATGTGCCAGTGTATACTCTATACATCCCTCAGAGGACTTGTGCTTTGATTTTTTTTTTCCTAATATCAGCAAGTCGTGTTCAGAGCTGTGTGCACTTTTTTTAAAAACAGATTTTTACTCTTTTGTCGAGTCAAGGGAAGGTTTCGTCGATGCCAATTATTTCCCCAATAAAATCCCATAAAGGAGATAAATTACAACGAGTGAAATTCTCCACATGGTTCTGATAGCTGTTATTCTTCCTGAAACTAAACAAGAGGCAATTCATCATCATATTTTGAATAAACGTTGGTTTAGTTTGTGTTAAAAGTAAAGGCTTTTCACTACTGTAAGGAACAGACGTCACGGCTCAGTGTTTCATCTTTAAAACAACAGAATCAGCAGCCCATTAAAGACCAATCACGTGCGTCTCTTATAGGAATCATTCACTCCCGTGATGTTGCTTATCTTCTCATTATTCTCCCTCTCTTCCTGGGGTTGAAACCCTCCTGCCTGATAACTCTGGATCCCAGGCAGCCGTGTGATGCTGCGTGCTCAGCACCAAGCTCAGAGTGTAGTACGCAAATGTGAACATCATTGAGCATCCAGCCGTAGATTTTGAAGTCATAGCTGGTGGTTTTTCTGTGGCTTCATCAACTACAATGCTGACGCTTTAGTAAACGGAGGGAAACGGGGAGAAAGACGGAGGGAGTAAGAAAAACGAGGAGCGACAACACTGCAGTGGAGCAGCACTTTTGAGAGTAATGAAACAGCAACTCCTTCACTGCATCAGATTGTTATCTACAGTGGTGGAGTGGGTCCAGGGTGTGAGCTGTCCCTGTTCTCTGACAACCGGAGCACTACAACTTTCCATGTCTGTCATCCCTGACTCTCCTTCCTGCCCCATCCAGTGTCATGGTTACAGCCCTGTCACGATTAAATCCGCAGCTACGATTGGCCCATAAAATAACACGGCCTCAGCTCTATCTCCACTCACTTATGACACTTTGAGGTCGGACGGGTCAAATGACTAAAAACGGCCTCGGCTCGTTTGGCTCTAGGCAAAGTGAACACTCATACACACCCCACGACATTGAGATACACACGCGGTGGTTATTGTGGTTTGGAGGGACCGGCTTTTGGTAATCGTTTCTCTCCGGATTCCTTTTTTTTAAGAATGAAAAGAGTACAATACATACAATAATTATCAGAAGACGTTGCAAAATGTTTTTAGTAAAAAAACATAAAGTTCTGACCTTAGTCCCCACAACGCAGCAGGTCCCCATTATGTGACCGTGTCTACTGTCACCTGTCCCCACAACATCATAAATAACAGCACACACACACACACACACACACAGGAATATGAAGTTTCTAGTTTCCTCCCCCCCCCCCCCCCCCCCGGCCGGTCTCCCCTTTTCACACAGAGCTGAGTGTATCCAGTTGTGTCCTTCTCGTGATTGACCTTCTCTGGAGTGACACTGCTGCACGGAGACGTTGGACTCACTCTTGAGAAACAATTTCTCTAATGAAATGTCCAACCATCCTCCCTGTCTCTCTCTCTCTCTCTCTCACACTTCTTCTCTCTGTCATGCACACACACACACACACACACACACACACACCCTCTTACAGTAGCCTACTTTTGAACCAATTCTTTGAGACAGTACACTTCAAGTCGCAAGGGAAAAAACAAAAACAATTTTTAGCTGCTTTTCTGTTTTACTACCAACAAACTATATTATTATTAAACTAAGTCGAAACCAAAGTTGACGGGGTTGAAGTCCAACACCTACTGAAGCCCAACAACACCCTCTTCAACCCTGCTGGCCTGAAGAGTGAGAGACAGGATGGAGAGAGATTTGAGATGTTAGTGGCTGGGAGGGAGAGAGGGAGGGAGGGAGGGAAGGAGGGTGAGTGGGAGGATGTTCTCACCCGCACGATTTCTTGTTTTATCACTGCGATAGCTGTCATGTTTAACTGTAAATCAGATTCCTCATACTTTATATATGTGTATATATGTATATGTATGTATGTATATATGTATGTATATATGTGTATATGTATGTATATATGTATATATGTGTATATGTATGTATATATGTATATATGTGTATATGTATGTATATATGTATATGTATGTATATATATGTATATGTATGTATGTATGTATATATGTATCTATATATGTATTTATATATGTTTGTATATATGTACATATGTACATATATAACAGTAAATGAGAACTAAAATATGATTTAGTTCTGTCGTTTAACACAGTAAATGAGAACTAAAAAATATGATTTAGTTCTGTCGTTTAACTGACTAATAAAAGTATTATTTATCGCGTACTTTTGCCCGTACTCACTGGTTCTAGTGCGTGAGGTTCATTAATCACCACTGTGCAGAGGAAAAGGTAATCGGCGAGGACGGAAAACCATTAGCAGGGTGGGGCTGAGCTGCAGAGCCAGGCAGAACATCTTAAATGCTGCAGAAGGCAAAGGTCAAATGATCTCCATTGGAATTCCTGACATGTTTCACAGTGTCCCTGTGCCTGTCCCTAGGAGAAGCTTCCTCCATAGTCAGCAGATACTGCGTTAGACCAAAATCAAATTACGGTTCTGCACAAGCACATAAAAAAAAAAAAAAAAAAAAAATCCCCCTCAGCTTCTAGTCTTTCAGTGATGACCCTGAACCTCCTGTGTTGACGAGTCATAGATATGTCTTAAATAAATTTAATTTAAACTTTAAAGTTTGTCAGTGCTGAAAAAAAATCGTCTTAATGCAACAAATGGAGGAAAATATGCGCAGATATATCCTTGCTGCCGAGGCATTTCTCTGTGACATGTGGGTTAATGAGCTGCAAATTCACGGGGATGCCCTGGGTGACGAGCGCTCAGGCTTCATAGATGTGAAAGAAAAGCCCAGATGTGGAGCTGGAGCTGGAGCTGAGAGCCAATTAGAGACTGTGGTTGAACTGCCTTTGTTATGGTCCATACAGAGTTATATACTGTCCACATGGACGTCAGGGAAGGGGGGGTGATCATTTGATGAAGTGGCCTGACTAGAATGCTGATGAGCAGGACAGCGGACGGTCCCACACATGTTGGTCCATTGTCTGTCATACTTGACAAAGGACACCTCGTCAGTAACACCGGCGGCTGCAGATAAAGGCCGCTGTAGCCACACTTGCCGAGCCGTGAACAGCAGATACTGGAATTGTTTCCATTTTATTCCACATATAACCTGCTGCTAACAGATAAGAACACCAGCCCAAACTCAAGGCCCCTCAAAGACCCAGTTCACACGGACATATTCCAGCTACTGTATGTGTAGCCTGTGACCACTGAGGGCGGCCATGTTGTACAC